GTCCTCTCTTCTTATAAGGACTCCAGTCATTAGATTTAGGGCCTATCCTACATGCAGGGTGATTTTATCTCAAGGTCTTTAATAAACTACATCTTCAAAGACCCTATTTTCAAATAAAGTCACGTTCTGAGGTTCCAGATGGATATGAATTTGGAGGGAGACACTATTCAACTCAGAATGATGAGTATGGTTGAAAGTGAAAGAAGTCCCAACCAAACTCTTGGACCAGGAGCAAGCATGTGACTTAAGCCAGTCCAATAGAGTGAAGCTTAGCGGGTTTGCTTGGAATGCTGGGTTGTCTGGCTCCTGCAACTGGGAAGTTTAAAAGTGACCCTTCGGGTATCAGGCACACAGGAGGATCTGGGGCTCAAATGATGCCTTCGGGAACCTGTTTCTTTCTCTCCATCTCTGGGTCCTGTGTTGCTCTGTGTTGGCATCCTTCAGGCAGGTTCCCCTCCTGCATAGTGATAAGAATGGCCCTGAGTTCTAAGTGTCCATTTTCTTCACAGCCAATCCCAGTAGAGAGAATACCTTTTTCTTGACTTTCTAGAAAAAAAAATCCTCGAAGGACTCTATCTGGCGTGGTTGGGGCAAGCCAATTCCTAAACAAATGACTGTGCAGAAATAGAGAGCTGTAAGTACCTGGATCTGCCTGGGTTCTGTGTCCACCTGTGGCATCATAGAGTGGGGGAAGCCCCCTTGAGTTTCTGGGCTGAGACTGGGGATTCCTCCCCAAGATGCAGGCCCTAGAAGAACCTGGATGGGCATCATCAGGTGGCACGATAACCACACAACCCTAGCTCAGAGGTAGCCACGTGCCCGGCTTTAAAATTAAAGTTAGTGTTAGAAGCTGATAACAAAGCACCATTTTCTCTCACTCCTGTTTTTATTTCTTTTGACTAACATTGAATTGGCTCTAGACCTTGGAGAACCTTTCCCGGGGCACTTGTTTTGGGGGAGTTTCCTGAGAGACACAGGTATAGGTTCCTTTGCTCTCCTAATTGCCCTGCCCATTGTTGCTGTTCTGTCAGAACCCAGAGGTGGACATCATCATGCAGGCCTGGGCAGCCAGGCAGGAGAAGCACGTCCAGGACGGGCACTGAACCTGTGGAGTGTCACACACCCTCCACTAATGAATGCAGGCTTGTGAAGGGTTTGGACACTGCTGGCATCCCGAATAGGAAGGTGGCTCATAGCTCACTCCCAAAGCTGTGCTTGTCTACAAGCAACACTTGGAAAGTAGGAAGAGTACCACATGGACCTGCAGGCAACACACGGAGGTGGACACTCCCACTCACGCATTCAGCAAGTTGAAGAATACCTATGCCAAGCTCTGTTTTAGGCATTGGGAATGTAAAAGACAAAGGAGATTCAGACCCTGGAAGGTCCACTTGTTATTGGAGAACCCTGCATAGAAACAGAAAATCCAGAATCTCTATGGTAAGTGTAGTGGCCTACGGCCTCCTAAGTCAGAACAGCAAGGGACCAAAGACTGGAACTGACACCCAGCACTTTGGTCACATTTCATTGACTAAAACAAGTCACATGGCCACACTGAACATCAAGGGATGGGTAAGGGAGTCTGCCTAGGAGTAGAGAACAGGATATTGGCGAGTGCTGGTTACGCCTGCTACAGTGGGATTCCAGGGCTCCTGAAGCAAGAGCAGAGCGCGGTGCCAGGTGCCTCGCTGGCCTACTGCACATTAACCAGCCTTCTGTGACGGGGCTGCCACACGCAGCTGCTCGTTGCCAGAGCAGGAGGAGACTGGCAATGGAAAGATTGGCCCCTCCCTGGGTTCCTGCACAGGATCCGTAGTTTCAATGGTACTTTGTGAGTTCAGCCCCAAAGTAAATGGTTAATTCATCTTGTATCAACAGCACTGTGATTCATAATGTAAACTTGGAGGATCCTTGATGTTTTTGCGCCCACATTCCTTTTAATTTGGCTCTGCATTCTTTTAAAGCCACAGTGTGCTCACTTAATAGAATGCAGCATGCAAATGCACAAGTTTTTGCCTGGAGGCAATTTAGCCTGGCTGGTTCAATGGATGTCTTCTTTCAAGTGTATATTCTTTCTTAAATTATTTACTGGGTAAACACACTTTGCATTTTCAAAAGGGAGATTAAGGCTGCTTGCCGAATACCTACTAGAAAAGAAATCCCACCCCCCACCCCTGCCCCCAAAGTTAAGAAGGAAGATACCCTGGCCTTCCCCAAAGTTTCTTCTCTGGCTCACTCACTGGGAACCCCTCTTCCTGGCTGTTTTTCAGATGCTCTCCAAACTCTGCCCACAGCAGTACCTGCCAGCAGCCCCTGGCTTGTCAGGCTTCCTCCCAGAAAGGGCCCAGCAGTGGCAGCCTTTGTCCTCCCTACCCCCAGATGGGCTCAGTCCTTTTTACTTAAGGGCCCAGCCACTCATTTTTCTGGTCCTGAGAAGCGCTGTATCTGGCCAGGCTTTGGTTTGAAAGCAAATGCTCTCTCCTGCCCATCTCTCCCACCGCCCACACGCGCCTCACTTCCATGGACCACCCTTCTCCTAGCTTCGCAGGGGAGACCCAGCAGTGCTCTGAGAATGCATGATGGTATGAAATTCCATCTTTGGGAGACTTCAACTTTAACTTCAGCCTTCTCTACGCAGACTCCCTGCGGTTTTCCTGCAAATTACATTTGCACGGACCTTCATTCTCCCTTGAATGGAAAGATGGCAGTTGTAGGGCTGCGCCCATTCATTATCATCCTTTGGACAGTTCTGTGTCAGTATCTGTGCCATGTGCTGGGGCTGGAGAGGTGACTGTGGGCCCACCGGGGAGGGAGTGGGCAATTCGATCTTTCCGATGGCCCGTGACCCAGGTCGCCCGTCTTGGGATGGGGTGTCTGTTGAGTGAACTACAGATACGAGAAGCTGTTAGGGAAGGTCGCAGGGTGAAGTGCACTCCTCTTTGCCTTGAGATGAGGGAAGACCGGAGAAGAGCTGAGAATTTAGGGTTCCTGTGCATTTGTTTCCTTACTGGTGCCTCAGATTCAACAAGTAACACCCACAGTTCATCCCAAATGAGCATCATGGATGCTTTGGGGCCCTCAACCCACAAATAAAATGGTTGTCAACCAAGAGACATGCTACTGAATAGTACTTACAGTAGAATGTGAAAGAGTTTTCATGCTTTTAATCTGTTTCACTGCTGAGTTTCAGTTTTGCTGATTTCCTTTGCAAGTCTGGCGCGGGTGGCCATGGTAAATAGAGATTGTGACAGTGACTTTGGCAAACAGGATGTGTAGGGACTGTTCCGAAGGCTCTTGCCCCTTCTGGAGAAAAGGGGGGAAATCAATTTGGGTCTTAAATCAAGCTATCAACTAGCACCGATCAGTGTTCACAATTAGCCCCACTGTAACAAGCCGTGAAGTCCTGTCCTTATTTATTTTGGGGGTGGAGAATCTTCCTGCCTCCTGAGTAAACATGGCCTGTGAAGTCTGAATTAGCTGTCATCGCAGAAGAATTAATGTCGGGGCGCAGCCTTTCTAGTGGGGAAGGGAAGAAATAAACGAGACAGATCTTAGCCGAGCCGTATGTGATAAATGAGGACCGAGCGGATCATTCATCTCCTTCCAGGAAAGTGGACACAGGCACTAAAGCAGTTTTGCGGAAGACGTGTCAGCAAATGTGATCATTTTGTAACCTGTCAGGAGGAGAGGGAGCTAGTCCTTCCAGGGGGCAAAAGGGAGTGGGCCTGTCTGGTGTGACGGTCTCTATCCATCCATTTAGGTTTGAGCAAGAAGCGGGTGGGCAAGGAGGAATCCGACTGAAACCACGGGGGTGTCATCATCCTTCCAAGAAAGAAACCCAGCTAGAGCTAGAAAAGGCTGCGGCCTCCCTCACAGATTTCTTCTGGAAGATGGGAAGGAGGAGGGTGGGGGTCTCTGTTAAACTGGGCGCCTGGCCAGTCCCACCTATGGACGCCCAATCCAGTGATCTGTGTCTGCACAAAGACAGCAGACCTTTTTTGTGCTTCATATTTGGAGGATGGACAGATGGGGTTTGCTGCCGTGTCTTTGCTGTGCGGACAGCCAGCTAGACTGCCAAGCACTCTGTCTCTATTTTTGTGTGGTTGGTTCTGTGGGAGTAAGCGTGGGCGAGGCTCTTTGACCTCAGTTCCCTTCAAAAGTCTCCACAAAGCATTCTGATGTTCGACCTCTTTTCTCAGAATGAGGTAGCAAATTATGAAACAGCTTCGTCAGAAGCTCTCTGCAGGCATCTTGGAGCCGATGCCTCCGCTCCGATTCCCCTCCGATTCCCCTCCGTTCCCTGTTCCCCATCAGCATTTGGCAAAGCCAGAGCAGAGAGGGTTGGTGTCCCCGGAGATGAGGGCCCACCAACCAAAACCCCCGAGGTACTTGGTGCTCTTTCTCATGTTCACTCCCTTTTGCTGTGGAGCAAATGGAATGTTTCCTCTTGGCGTCACAGAGCGTGAGCCCCAGTGACAGGTGACGGTTTCACAGCCTGAGCTGCACGCTTGACACTTGCTTCTTAATCCTGTCCTTTTCTTCCTAAGTCTCGCTTTTACTTTTCCCCAGGTGTTTTTGTACAGGTAAGTACCTCACTGACATATGTTTCCTGGGAGTCTATTACCTTCACCGGAAACACTGCCAAAAAAATGAGGCTTGTCTCACATTTTCAATTAAAAAGAGACGCTCTCACGGGCCCTTGATCACTTACAGATGCCACATGGCACTGCGCACCTAGGAAGCCATTTGGTTCGCAGTAGCTTTGCAGAAAGCATGTCTCCAGGTGCAGCGTGACAATCGCTGTGGAGTTGTTCGTTTCCTTGTGGGTCCTTTATAGAACCAAAAAGCTGTGTGGTCACACACACACACACATGCACACACTCCAGGCTTCCCGCGCCGGCCTGTGAAGCCATCGTTTGATTAGCCAACTTGATCTTGGATGAGCTTTGTCGGAATGTGCTCCGATCATCTGAGTTTCTCTCTCCTTTGCTGTCTCCTAGGATCATCCAGAACCGTGTCCTGGTCGTCGTGCTGGCCGTCATCCTGGTCATCACCATCCTGATGGCGATCACTTTCTCCTTCAGAAGACACTGATGTATCGGCGGGTCCTTGATAAACAGCAACAGCGGCTCGTGCTGAGTAATTAAGACAAAATGGTCACATGAATCATTCTTTTGCGCTGACAGGCCCCGAATGACCCTCCCTCCCTCTCACCACTGTTCAGCCGGAGTGCAAAGAGTGTAAAAATATTTTTATTCTTGTTTGCATGTGGGTTGGTTTCCTTTTCTAGGTTTTCTTCGCCCAGATTTGTGTTTGTGTAGGGCAAGGTGAGGGCTTATTTGCCTTTTGGTCCTCTCACCTACTGACCAAAATAGCCTCTAGTGACATTCTTCCTTGCCCCGTGGACATGTCAGGGGTCACGGTTTGGGAGAGGGCATAATGAGTCTGTCACGGGGCTTCTGATGGGCTGCGCTGTTTGTCACACATCTCCTGTCACCGAATTGCCCTTGTGTGATGTCCGAGGATCAAAACGCGGAGAAAAGCAGGGATCAGAGCCAGTGAGCTACAGCACACCAGCCCTGTTCCCACCCCAGCACAATGAACGTAGTCAGCCCGCCTGAGTGCTTTCATTGTAAAGGTGGGTTTCACCGTCAGCTGCGCAGGAAATTGACTTAGCGCTTTCTCTGTTTTTCTACGCATAATTTTCTTTTCTTTTCTTTTCTTTTTTTTAACACCCAGGAATATTTTTGCTGAGCCTGCCCAATATCCCACTTTTCACAACTTTGATTACTGGCTACAAGAAATCTTTCCATACCCTCCCCAAATCCCAGACTCCCCAGAATTTGCCGGCAGCGTGAGCCCTGGCACCGTATTTAATGGTGACCCCCTCTCCCCTGACCTGTGTAAGCACTCCTGTATCCTTTCGGTTTTAATATTTGCACTGCCAAAAGCAGCCCTCAGACATGCGAAAGGTCTGACAAGGTTCTCCCCACATCCATTCCAGTATGTAAAGAGAACATGAATATTTCAGGAAGAGCAAGAACATGACTCCGTCAGAGTGAAATTTCGAATGTGATTATAAATAAGGTAGAGTCCTATAGGGGGGATCCACTAGGAATAAACTTCACGGAAAATGGGCGATAACCTCCTTTGAAAGAAAGGTATCGCGCGTGTTGCAAAAAGACAGCTTGGGTTTTTCACTAACAAATGTCAGCATCGCCTTCCTGAATTCACGATGTGTTCAAACCCCTAACAGGCTTTGTGATCTTCTTTGGTTTCTTTCTGTCCGCGGGAACGGGGAATTGCGTTCAGAATGAGTTGATTTGTGATGAGCTTCGAGTTGCCCAAGCTGAGGTCATTTTCCCCCTAGTCATGAAGCAAATGTGTTTTTCTTTAAGACTTCATAGGCACTTACAGGGTCCGCACTATCTTTTGAATATAATTGGGAGCTTTGAGTCCTTGAAAAGCAAGCCTGTTCTCTTCATAAAAAATGCTAACCACCTGTGCCCATGGATGGAGATCGCCTAGGTGCAGCACGTAATGTATCTCCCCCCCGCCCCCAACTCAGAAGAGAACCCTTATGGGGTAGGGAAGAAATGCAGAATGGCAAAATCGCCGGAGAACTTGTGTTCAGATAAATCATTTAGGATCCTGTAAATAGAGCTGCAGCCTTTACTGTGCGGGGATGGGTGAGATTTGGGCAGGGCGAAGTAGGACGGCGGAGGAGTGGGAAGGCTCTGCTGATTTTCCCGTCGGCGTAAAGGATCCATCTCAGCAAGGATCTTTTATTCTGATAACGGAATGCTGTATGTGCTAAACACATCAAGAAACCATGAAAAAGCAAGGAAACAAACAGCCCACTTCCTTCTCGCCCTGAAACAGTAACGGGGGAGGGAGCCTCCAGCCTGTCCTCCTTCCTTCGAAGCTGTTGGCCTTCCTTCTCTCAAGTGCATAACCAGGTCTCCAGCTGCATCTCAGTTCCAGACCCTCCCCAGGCCACGCAGCGAGCTGGGTTGATCTGATCACCCAAACTTGCCAGCTCCTTCCTGTTTCACTAAGACCTGTGCTCATGCTGAAGTAGGTGACGGAAGGAGTGCGTTGCTCACCTCTCAGTGGCCTTTTCTTTGGGGTTCTCTTGATCAGCTCTTGCCTGAGATTTTGCCCCAGTTCAACCTTGAGAGCGGAAAAGATGTGAACAGATAACCTTTGGCCAAACAGCCCCATCACACGCCCTTGAGAGCCACCCCCCGCCATCCCCCCGCCCAGAGTCGTGAGCACCTAGTAGGAAGCTGGTCTGAAGGTCCCTTGAATTCCGTGCCGGGCCCTCCTGAACGCTGTGGGAGAGACTCAAACAAGCCCAAAGACAGACAGATTGTCCTCTTCCTTCCACACTCCACCGGGGAAGGAAGAAAGCCCACACACAATCAAAAGGTTCCAGGAACTTCATACGTAGACCTCAACTGATCGATGGAGTTAAGTTGGGAATATTGTTATATTGTTTAAGATGCCTTGCGATGTGGGCTCAGGGGGTGGGAAGGGTGGCGGGGGGGAGTGATGAAGACACAGAGGAGGAAGAAGAGGAGGAAGCCCCTGCCACATAAAATTCACTGCAGACTGCACCGTTTCCCTGACAGAATAAATAAAGCAGACGCTACCCTGCTCCAGAATCCAAAGCAATTTAATTAACGTCTCTTAAGTTGCAAAGAGTTTTAAATGTTCCACGTTGAAGGCGAGTGCCTGCGAATGCGGTGGGCTTGACGTCAGCCGCCAGCCGCCAGCCTGGGCCGGGAGGCCATTTGCGATTCTGTTTCAGGCAGGCTGGATTGTCTTATTTTGGAACCAGCGTGGTGGGGGGTTTGCTTTGCTACTGCTTCTGAGCCCCGAGCTTCAAAGGCTGAAATTAATGGTGAACAAAATTGTGCGGCGCTGGCCGTCCCATGCGGGGCGAGCCCATTGAGGGTTATCATTAAGTAAAGAAATAAAGAGGGAAAAGCCTGCCTGTTCCAGAAACCTCATCAGATAATGACCTCCGTGATTGGGTTTCATTACCAAACCAGCATCCAGAGATGATCTCCTCCAGAAAAGAAGGGAGCAGGAGAGAAAAAGAAAGGAAAGCAACTGTCTTTCTCTCTCTCTCTCTCTCTCCCTCCCTCTCTCTCTCTCTCTCTCTCTCTCTCTGGCACATCTTTTCTTTAAAACTGTCAGATCATTTCAGTATTTCAAATCCGAGGAAAACAGCCTGCCTGCTGCTGTATTTGAAGTTGTAATGGTGTCAAAAAGTCACGACTGACTGACAGCCATCAGTCCCAGAGGGGCTCATTAAATCATAAAAACTTGACAAGGAAATAATTGCGCATCGCCAGCAACTTGGCGCCTGTTTAGACGTTTTTATTTTCTTTCATTATTAGTCCCCACCATTGCGTTCATTAACAAATTGCATTAAACAACTGTTAAGGGCTAATGATTTGTTTATCGCTTTTTTATTATTATTATTTAAACATTAGCTGTGTCATGTGGTACCCCAGCAGCCTCTTGCCATCATCTGACTGAATATTTTTCCACTCCGAGCTCTGGGTACTGTTGGAATATGAAATAGATTATTCATTACTCTCCTCTTTGCCACTGATTTGGTTTCATGTAGCGTCTTCCACAGAGAAAGATGAAAACTTGTCAAAAATAGGTTATATCTTATTCGAAGGGGCAACAATAGCAGCAGGTACAGGCACACTTTAATATTTAATTAAGGTTGATGTTAACCCCTTTAAATGACTTTTGCTGTAAGTTCTATTCAAATGCAGAAGAGAAAAATAATTGTTCTTAATTTGCAACCTGCTCAGCAGGCACTCTTCGTGGTGTTAGCTGGAAATTTAGACCAGAATTGTTAAATAATGAAATTTCCCATCATAAATATTTATGGCCATTTGTCTACGTAGTTGAGAACACACCACAAGCGATGATTTCCTCGTCCCCTTGGTTTGAACTGCGAGCCCAGTGGGTCACTCGGTGCTGGGGAGTGGAGACGGCTTTCTTGGGAGAAATGTGTATCCCAAGCCAAGGACCCTGGATTGGCTGTGACTGGGGCTGGTTTCTAAGCAACCACTGTGAGTCCCGTGTCTCTGGTCCACTTGCCTCCCCCTTTAGCTGAGTGTGTGGTTGGAGGACTGTGGTCTGGGGTGAGAGCAGGTAGAGGCTTCTTAATAGGACTTGTGTGCCCGGGTCGCTGGTGCAGGCAGGGTGTGATGAGAGGGCGTCTGGGTGTCTCGGTGTAGGCGGTGAGCGCATTGCAAACAGAGCCTCCCTGATAGACAGCAGGACCCTCCATCTTCCTCCTTCTCTGTGACTTGCCATTGGTAGAATGGTCGGCTTTGCCTGGGGCTGTAACCTTGAGGGGCAAGTCCCACCCTCATCGTCATCCCAAGACGGAAGTCAGTGGCCACCTCCACGCTGTAACTGCAGGCCGCACTCATCATCCCGTTTGATCCGATGAGTTTCATGGCCATGGAAGCCACTCTCGGAGGCCTAGTTCGTCAGCACTTCAGGCCTGGGCATTAGGGTCAATATCAGGGAATGGGGAATACCGTTCTCCTAGCCTGTGTCCACTCCCACCCA